ACTGAACCCCCACCTGGGCCCTCACACTCACCCCTTGAATGAGGAAAACAACACGACTCTCAATGTGTCCATTGCATAAGACTCAGGTCTCTAGTACTTATTATCCCTGGCAATTAACCTTAGAGCAGTGAACATTATAGGTTCAATCCAAGCTGTAATTGTCACACTTGACAGTTCACAAGTTGGCAACCTTATTCTTTGTTGGGTGCACACCAGATTCTAATCACAAATGCACTGCAAATGTATGAAGTTACCAATTAAACCTCACCATCACCGCTTGGCCAACAGCTCCTGGTGCACCACAGGCATAAAGCAAAGCACACCTCTGAGACAGAACAGGCATAGACTATTCATTATGATCACAAAGTGACATAGTAAATGCACTTACGTACTTACATACAAGCCGGGTAGTAGCCACTGACTGGATTAGTGCTGTATTTTCAACTGAACAAGCTTGGAACTCTGCAGTTAACCATCACAGTCAAAAGTTGCTCAAGGCTATGACCAAACAAAACCCAGTTGTCAACCCACACTGGTGATCAAATACTCAACTGTACTTCACTTCGCTCACACACCTTTAGCCATCTCAACAAAGGTGATTAATCTTGGCAAACCCACAGACTACCCATCAATTACACTTCAATGGTCAGCCACACTCATTACTGACCATTGCTGCCTGACTTTTCAGCCTGCTTTATTATGTTCTTCTAACATATCCTACTCTTCATTTCCATTGGGCATTATCATGTTTGTGTTTTCAGCAAATCTGAGATATACTCTTTGGTTTTATTCGGTAAAGTCACGTAGATAAAATAAGACAAAATAAAAGAAAATAATTAAATCACGACGTTTCGGAGGCAACACAAGCTTCCGTCTTCAGGTGGAAAAGTCAACGCAGAATATCTGTGTCAGGAGCACAATTCAGAGACAACCGGGATTATGTACAGGTTAAGGGAGGGGGGAAGAGTCAGTAAGGGGGCGTGGATGGGTGGGAGGGCTGGGTTAAGCAGCCTTTTGATAGGCTGTTACGGGTAACAACCACTTCGCACTGCACGGGAGTGGGTAAAAAAATCTGAGATAGTTAATGTTTTTCCATTAATATTAACGCCTTAATCCAATCCAGTAAGCCAAGAAAATATCTTCTAATGTTGCGTGAATAACGGGCAAAGAAATTTCACCTAGTCTGATTCCCCTGTTAAATTGTATCTTGGTACTTTCATTATGTAATCTCAGTGTCATAAATCTGTTTGTAATTTATTTAAAAATTTTCTGATTTTTTTTTTATTTATGGCTTGGTTTTTCATGAGCTTAGATGGCTGCATCAATTTCTACTCAGTCGAATGCTTTTTCATAGTTTACAAAGGCCGGACACAGTGGTATTCTACAGCGTTCCCCCGAGCGACACGAAACCTATTCTATAACAGCTTCGCGAGACAATAAATGAGCGATGAAATGAAAAAAAAAAACGTATGTACGGCCTATATACATCACTCCAAATTGTTCACGGAACATCAAATACTACATCCTGAAGCTTTAAACTTATTAATACTAACTCACAGTCACTTTCCTAATTATTCTGCACCATAATCCCATGTCCCTGAAGCTCTCTTGAAACCCGCTTATGTATCCTATTGAATTCTCTCAGGCTATTATTTGAAAATGTACATAAGCATTGACCCCTTGTCCTGAAATAGGGACAGTTTGCAACACTTATTTAGAATTCCCCACTTCAGGCCCACACGCTGCAGCTCTCACTGGCGATTTGCTCGACTATGCCAGCAAATCTCCAGACACAATTCATATTTTCTTCTTTGGTTCTTTCGGTAAAGTCAACGTAGAATGAGAATAAAATAATAAATTGATAAAATAATTCATATTGGTCAAGAACTCGTTCTCCACAATCTTACAGCTCGCATTATATGGTCAGATACTTATATGAACCTTAGGACGGTACCCCCGGGTACCATAGTACCCCAGCTCTCACATAATGTCCGTGATGCAGTCATTTTTAGTCTGTGGTGATGGTCGGTGATGCGGCAATCGACTCATCTCGACGAGCGTTCAGAGTTTCGGCGCAATCGTCCTCACTGTGTTTCGACATCGCGGAGTAACACTGATTTCAGATTGATTGGTACCCCAGTCGCAGAGTTAAGTAAACCTTTGGAAAAAATAGTGTCCCAGAAATAAAATATTTAATTGCCTCAGCCATTTTGTATTATTTTGTACCCTGGGGTACCGCCATAAGGATCATATAGCGTGTCAAACCTATGTGTGTTAACATCCTTCTCACGTCCAATACACTATTACGAATTCGCTTCGGAGCCTACCAATAGGGTCCTGCCAAAACCACTTTTACATATTCACAACCCTTTAAGAAAACCCTCGTTTATTTCCCTGTACTGCACATCACTATTCACGACAGGAAGTAAGAGTTATGTGTATGAATATACATGGTACAGGGAAGGATGTCCTTTGACCGACTTTCATTGTATGTTTTTCTATACGTTGAAAGTCATCCATAACGTGTACACAATGTATAAAGCACGTCACTGCACGCCGTTGGCTAAACCCTTCAGCCAATTCAAGTCATCTGTTGACACTCCGAGTTGAGGATCCATGATCGTACTGTGGGCAAGCTGTTAGACACATCCAGAATATGCCAGCCAAGCAATCGGACACATGAACAATATGGAGCTTTCCTGTTTCCGGCTGTGAAAGCCTTCACTGGAAAAGATGTACAACTCTGCTGGAAGACAGCGAGCGGTGAACAAACAGTACGAATGAGATTCAAGTATAATCTTGATTTAAAGCCATCTGATGATACTTGTGTTGAGCATTTTTTACTTCATTCCACCGATTAGGCCTTAGTACTTTCCGTGCTAGACAGCATATTGAGCAACACAGTTGGATAACGTCGTCCCATAATATTCCAGTGAGCTTTCATTCTTTGTTGATCGTCTGCAGTGATAATGTGATCTAGGTACACTCCAGTAATGACAGCAATCATAGCTACATAAGCTTGGCATGTGTGCACCCTGTCTACATTGTATTGCACCGCGTTCAAGGGCACATGCTTTTGTTATTAACTGATTCATTGGATACATTCACACATATTTCTGTATTAGTTTATTAATGGTCACTACCATATATTTTTAACTATAGACCTTTTTAAAATGTTTTCTCTAGATGAACTACATTTGTTTTGATTTTATCTGGTGTTAAATATCCCTCACAGCTTCAATTTCATCCTAAAATTTTGGGCTTGGGGCTTCTGGTTGCAGCGTAAACGGCGATAGAGATATATATCTCCATGAGACCAATATTTGTAACTTCCCCTAGGGGAGAAACAAGATGAAATTTTCATTGCAGTCATCCTACATTAATGATTCTCCCAGCCGGATGACATGATGTAAATGTACTTTTTCGTATGATTTTCTGTCTCAAGAAAATGTATTTCTTTTGTAATTTAACTATGTAGCTAAATGTGGCAAAAAATATTCGAACAAATTATATTTTTAGGGAGCCAATATGCCACTTATTGCCACCTGGCAAATGTCCCTGCATGCGACAACCCTTCACATATAAAAAAAACTGCAAGATTCAGAAACAAATTATGACAAAACTTGCAACATAGCTTATCATTGTCACTGCTTGGAATCTGGAGAAGTTTGGAATAAGATTGGCAACTGAAATAGTTTGGAAATTATATATTTTGAATGTTAACATTAAACCGCTTATTAATAGAATTAATGCATGTGCCTTGGAACCTTGCTCGTGGAATTATGCTTCTGCACACGCACCTGACATGTGTGGCATGAGAAGTGTTTAGTAGTGCGTGCAGTGCCTTTATTCATCACGAAGGAAACCGTTGCTGACTTGTAACACTTCTAGTTCCTGTGTGCTTGCACGTGTCTTTTTGTGCGCATTCGGAGGATGCCTTGATGGATTGTAGTTTCCAACTTGTTACACTGGTATTAATACAAGCGTCATGAGATTGTGCATCGTTGCACGCTCTTGCATTCTGCGATTGATCAAATGGCACATACTGTCATTAAATCAGAACTGGAGCTGTTTGCAATGTAATAGGTAACATGTTATAAATATATATTGTTCCCCCCACACCACTAATGGTATTAATTCACAGAATGAATCATGATTGGTACAAACCACCCTTGTAATTTGGAGCTCTTACTATTAACACCACATTTTTACTGTAGTATATTGTATGATTCATTGGCCAGCTAATGCACCACTTGGTGTTAGCAATGCCTTGGGGTACATTTCAAAAGTGCTCACCAATGAACCAAGCATAATTTTTTCTCCTGCAATTGTGAACTCACTAAACTGCTCAATGTTTACATGAAACGAGGCATCAGTGCCCAGCAGTGCAATGTTGCAATGACTGTATTTCATAGGTCAGTACATTGAGAACATCAAGCATATTTGTATCTCACGCAGATTCCTTGGCGACCGTGTGCAACAAGTTGTGTTTTGTCTATTTCACTCTGCCAGATACAAATGTTTTCACCTCAAAAGTGTTGATGCCAACATTTTGGTGGGTGTTTCTAACTAACCTTGAACTCCCACGGATTGTCAACATAGATTTATATATGACTCATTTGACTTTGTTTTACAAACAGGTACATGCCAATGTGTTTATTGAGTTTCCCATCTTTACTTCTATACTTTGCCCTGATTCTCACTTTTCAATTGAGCAACTCAGCTACCTTGCACCTGATTATTGTTAACTGAAACATGTTGTGAACACTTCAGCAGTCTCAGTCCTTCATGTTTCACTTCCACACTGCTATAACAACTCAATGACCTCACGTGAAATAGTGCTCACTTACTTGAAGTTACGGTCACCATTCCAATAAATCCCTCTCCACGGGCCACCACGATTGCATGCAAAAACACACACCACACAAGTCATCTTGTCAGTGTCCACCAACAGTTGATAAGATGAGACATATTTGGTCCCACCCCGTTGTGTTGTCCAGGTGGTGTCCCCGGTGTCCAGTGCGGTTCTTGGAGAAGAAGCGGTGCGAGTGGGTGAAGACAAAGTCACCATAAGCCGCCTGCACGTCATGCTTGTGTCAGGGATCTCTCTGAGCCTGCAGCCCAGCCTATACCAGGCCAACATTGTCAGTGCGTTCACCTACACCCAGCATGTCCTTCATACACCCAAGCAGGTGAGAGCATATAAGCTATCGGAATGTTGTAAGTGGTTTTTCACGTCGGGATGTTGTTGTGGTATAATTGTTAGCACACTCGACTGGCAATCCAGAGGTTGCCAGTTCGTTCTCCCCAGCGCAGCAGTTGGTTAAACTATGGTGCAAGTTTATTCAAGTCCTAAGCCCTTGTCCACCACAGTGAGCAAAGTGCCAGTCCCGTGTGGTGAAGCAAAGTAGTGCAGGCACTCAAACTTATTCTAAGACATCTGACCAGTGTGGGAAAGTAGGCCAAAATACAATCAAATGCAGTGGTTCACAACCTGTGGTTGTTGATAGACAAGGCAATGGGAAGTGGTCCACCGAATTGTTGTAGAGCCGATTTTTTTTTTACAAAACACGGAATATTTGTTTTCGTGCATGGTACTCTGCGAAAATGTTTTGAAGATTTACAGTGGTCCACTATATTCATAATTTACATTAGTCTTCTTAAGTAGAAATCATTCCAATGATATATAGAGAAATTTATTCTTTAAAAGGTTTCAGTTTTGTTGCCAGAAAAAAGGGGAAAAACCTATTCTTATATTTTGGTACTGGCAAAGGAGGTCCCATGATGTAGAACCTTTAATTGTAAATGTCTTTTGAAGGGTGTCATTTAGTATGTAATGTCAGTTCTTGTCTACTTTACATCAGGCTTTATTTCCTTCCTGATATTATTATAGTGGTGTTTTTATAGTAGTGTTATAGCATCGTTGGCTTGGTAAGGTGTGAATGAAGTTCTATATACATACATAACAAAAATAGAAACTGCTTTGGTTGCGGTGTGACAGAAGAAATCAGAATTAGCTCACATTGAGAATCACATTGGCTCGCACATCTATCCCTCTTCACATTTGATTAAGGGATAATTATTGAAATATATGTTTATTTTAGTGGTGCACATCAATGTATCTTTTTTATAACTAAAAAACACAAAAACAAAGCAAATCCAATGGGTACTGCTTCCTCCAAGCACTATAGCTGTAAACCATTGAACAAGTGTGTGGTTCCTTGTGGAGACAGACTTTACCGTTCATCCATATTCTTTCGAAAACCTCAGTCAGCCAATGGCACTTCACCTGGTTACATGGGCACTTAAAGTTACATAAAACATAATGCATTGCCATTATTATATTTCAATAGCGCAGAATTATTTGTTTTTTAATGAGAATCCTAATTGTTTATTTTACTTTCACGAGTAGTTTAAACCTGCTTGAATAGTGTAGTGTGCAATAGCTTTGTTTTGTGCTTTTATTACGGTGATGTAACTCTGTAAGCAGTTAATTACTCACAATTCACCCACATGAAAGTCTCAACATCTTATCTTTTCAAACAAAAGCATGAGCATTTAAAATTGCACACACTATTTCCATTGGGTACAAACATATATTTTATGCCAAACACTGTTTTACAAACGGATCAAATAAACATACAGATATGTATGTAAATGATGTTAAAGTCACCATTTTAAGTTTACAAAAAATTCGAAATGTTTTCGTGAGATTTTAGCTTTCCAACGCTCACTCTCACACTTGCAAAAGTAGTACAGACAATTAAACATTACCCTTTTACTGCAATTTTGCAAGACAAGAGTTAAAATAGCATTTCATCAGCAAAATATTGTTTTTCGTGAGATAATTTTCGAGGTCGGGGCACATCATTTTTGGAAAATACATTTGTTGACAAGAAGCATTTTCGTTTTGTAATGCTTGAAAAAAATGTAATAGGCAACCTATTACCTCCAATTATAGATATATCATCATCAACCATGGTCAATCCACTGTTGGATAAAGGGCTCCCTAAGCCACCAAAATCTCTCATGATCCTGCAATGTAATAATCCCGCTAGTATCAAAAGCTGATTTCATTGCTCCATCTCACGAGTGGACATCCTCTCGGATTATCATAAGGTTAAGCTGCATAACTCTTGCTAACTATATATTAAAAAAATTACAGCAAATACTTTATCTTATTCGTTAATTGTATCCACATTCAGCTACTACATGGATCTTTTAAAATATGATCAATGTAGTAAGGGAAAAAAGTATTTGATCCCCTGCTGATTTTGTACGTTTGCCCACTGACAAAGAAATTATCAGTCTATAATTTTAATGGTAGATTTATTTGAACAGTGAGAGACAGAATAACAACAAAAAAATCCAGATAAACGCATGTCAAAAATGTTATAAATTGATTTGCATTTTAATGAGGGAAATAAGTATTTGACCCCTCTCAATCAGAGAGATTTCTGGCTCCCAGGGGTCTTTTATACAGGTAACGAGCTGAGATTAGGAGCAAACTCTTAAAGGGAGCGCTCCTAATCTCAGCTTGTTACCTGTATAAAAGGCACCTGTCCACAGAAGCAATCAATCAATCAGATTCCAACTCTCCACCATGGCCAAGACCAAAGAGCTCTCCAAGGACGTCAGGGACAAGATTGTAGACCTACACAAGGCTGGAATGGGCTACAAGACCATTGCCAAGCAGCTTGGTGAGAAGGTGACAACAGTTGGTGCGATTGTTCGCAAATGGAAGAAACACAAAAGAACTGTCAATCTCCCTCGGCTTGGGGCTCCATGCAAGATCTCACCTCGTGGACTTGCAATGATCATGAGAACGGTGAGGAATCAGCCCAGAACTACACGGGATGATCTTGTCAATGATCTCAACGCAGCTGGGACCATAGTCACCAAGAAAACAATTGGAAACACACTACGCCGTGAAGGACCGAAATCCTGCAGCGCCCGCAAGGTCCCCTTGCTCAAGAAAGCACATATACATGCCCGTTTGAAGTTTGCCAGTGAACATCTGAATGATTCAGAGGACAACTGGGTGAAAGTGTTGTGGTCAGATGAGACAAAAATGGAGCTCTTTGGCATCAACTCAACTCGCCGTGTTTGGAGGAGGAGGAATGCTGCCTGTGACCCCAAGAACACCATCCCCACCGTCAAACATGGAGGTGGAAACATGCTTTGAGGGTGTTTTTCTGCTAAGGGGACAGGACAACTTCACCGCATCAAAGGGACGATGGACGGGGCCATGTACCGTCAAATCTTGGGTGAGAACCTCCTTCCCTCAGCCAGGGCATTGAAAATGGGTCGTGGATGGGTATTCCGGCATGACAATGACCCAAAACACACGGCCAAGGCAACAAAAGAGTGGCTCAAGAAGAAGTACATTAAGGTCCTGGAGTGGCCTAGCCAGTCTCCAGACCTTAATCCCATAGAAAATCTGTGGAGGGAGCTGAAGGTTCGAGTTGCCAAACGTCAGCCTCGAAACCTTAATGACTTGGAGAAGATCTGCAAAGAGGAGTGGGACAAAATCACTCCTGAGATGTGTGCAAACCTGGTGGCCAACTACAAGAAACGTCTGACCCCTGTGATTGTCAACAAGGGTTTTGCCACCAAGTACTAAGTCATCTTCTTTGGTTCTTTCGGTAAAGTCATGTTTTGCAGAGGGGTCAAATACTCATTTCCCTCATTAAAATGCAAATCAATTTATAACATTTTTGACATGCGTTTTTCTGATTTTTTTGTTGTTATTCTGTCTCTCACTGTTCAAATAAACCTACCATTAAAATTATAGACTGATCATTTCTTTGTCAGTGGGCAAACGTACAAAATCAGCAGGGGATCAAATACTTTTTTCCCTCACTGTAGATGGTCAAGTGGTGACAATGACAGTCGTCGTAATATTCATCCATCATCATCATCATTATTGCCCGTCATTATCATATTTATCATTTTTGTCATTAGCAGTTATGTCATTGGCAGCGAGGACCACTGTGCAATGGGGTTGCATCTATTTCTACCCATTCCATAGTCGCAGTGATCTATGCCATCATAATTTTCATCCATCGTAATCATGATAATTATAAGTTATTGATGGCATTGACAGTTACGTTGACCACAAGTGGCATCATCATTATCAGTCTTTGTGTCGACAGCAGTGATGGCAGCAGTGCCTCGTGAGAGTAATGGTCACAGCAATAACGTTTTTCATTCCTCATCATGATTATAATCGTAATCAGATCACAGGGCATATCCACAGGTCATTATGGTTAATAACATTGGCACAACCACGTTTCATCATTGCCTTTTCAAATTTATTTTCCTACTATATCAGGCAGCTGTTGCAAAGTTGGCACTCGACTTCCACGATTCACTGTTAATCTTGCTGCCCATTTCAATGCCTCCCTCAATAAACTAGCACTAAGAATGTGGCTATAATAGTCAGAGTCATCATCATCATCCCCACTGTCGTCTAGTTAATAATCACGTAATTGCTGAAATGATGTTTTTCAAAGTGGAACTTTTAGCAAAACTAGAAGTATTGATTTTTAGTTGGCTGCCCTTTAGCAGCATTGCGGACAGATTATGGCCTTCCTTTGGGAGTGCAATGTATCCTTTAATGACCGGTGAGGAAAAATCCACAGTCATGTATGGATGCACCTGGACACTTAATGTTATTTGCAAAATAGCAGTTGATAACAGAGTAAATGCATGGACAGTAAGAGAGCTACAGTTGAGAATAATTTCACTGTTGCATCATCTTTTTTTTAAAGAATTCTAACCTTCAGAGCTTGTATTCCAATTTAGTTTTTTACATTTTATCACCTTTTAAAGGCAACAATATTTCAAGTGCAGTTTGAAATGTGCAATGGTGATCGTTTTATACGCTTAATTTAAATATAATATCTAAGGTATTAATTCACATGTGAATGTCTCAAAATCAACTGAAAAAGGAACATCCTGTGATAGTCAAAATAATGTCATGTCTTTATCATAAAAGATGTTGACGTGATATTTATCCTTTCCCAGTGTTTAATATTCAAAGCATGATGGTTTATGTTGTTGACATTAACACACATTGTCTCTACCCTCCATGAGGCAGATGGTAAATTGGCTGTCAGGGCACTGACACTTTAATGGCTGACCTCTAGAAACATGTTACTGAAAACCTTTTCCCTCATAAAACAAAAGC